TATTGAGCACCTGCTCAGAACATGTGATCAATAAGCTGGGAAAAAGAGAAAGAGGAGGCCCTAGGATGCCATCCTCCACACTCAGGATGCCTGAGGTGCACTAAGTTACACAGGGGCCTTGGATGTGCTACCAACAGCTCTCACGCCCAACCACCACGCACCTGCTGGAACCCTGGTTTGAAGCCTCAAGGCAGCAGAGCCTAAGACGTTCTTGCCTAGGCTGTTTGCAGTACGTGATTCACCCAATTAAGAATATCTACATAACAAAGCCTCACCAGGCGCAGAGGTCACAGAGACTGTGAAGTGTCTTTAGTGTGTGCAGCAGGGAGGTTCACTAATTACCAGTCATTTCCACCCCTCAACAGCCTGACAGCCTTTGAGATGCAGGGAATAAAAGACTCCCCAAATTCCCACCCCACACCCATCACTCCTCCCTCTCCAACCCACCCCAGCATTTCACTTATGTGACTAATAAGTTCCAGGGAAGGGGCTCTTCCCACCTGGCTGAAAGCGCAAGGAGGGAGGGTAGGAAAAGAAAGAATTGTTTCCCATAGGATGGGCAGGCCATAGAATATTTTCATCAAGATGCAACTATCTTCATTCCTTTTAAATAAGTAAATGGACCAAAGTCACATCTTTAGCTCCCTGTTTTTAGGGACAATGCATGTTTGCAGCAGAAACTGTGGGTAAGCAAGAAGAACGGTAGAGTCGCCCACAGCCTGTCGCAGAGAGGATCGGTGGTCCAGCAGATGCTGGCAGCACACTTGCTACAGAGAGAACAGGTTCTGCATGTACATACCCTCGCTCTTTCAGAACCAGCTTTTCAAACTGAATACGCTATCACCATCGCCCTCCGCACGGGCCATGGACAAAGATCTAGACTGGCCTAGAAGAGACTGCGCATGGAGTTCAAGAAGGGAGGAGTTTGAGAATTTCTGAAAGGGGGTGTTTTGGAGGCCATAAAGGACAAGTGATTTTACCCCAAAACCTCAGTTTCCTTATCTGCACAAGAGGCATGACAGTGTATGCCTGAAAGGCCTGAGGTGAGGATTAAGGGTTATCAAAGGACTATGTGGTTGTTGGACATTTTATGACTAGTTTTAATAAAGGTTCGTTAATTAGTGCTTTCTAGTTAGCCCACTGCTAAGTAGTCAGTTTTGAGACTATAAAAAGAATCCATCTAGCTCAAGCCTAGAGGAGTTCAAGATCTAATTGGAAAGTTGCACACACACACACACACACACACAAGCCCAAAGTTAAACTAGAATTTAAATAGCTAATAAAAGTTACCATCAATTAGCAGAGAATCAAGAGCCAGACAAGAGGCGCAGACAGGACTCCAAGGGGTCAGGGGTCAGGAAGAGCAGGCAGATGATCACAGTAATGGCAGTCACGAGCCCTTTCCACATGCCAGGCATGTCAGGGGCAGTACTCTCTTTCTGATTTCCCTACTGACTGTATGAAGTGGGGACCATTACTGATTTTGTTTTGCAGAGGAGGAAGTGGGAAGTTTAGAGGACAAGATCCTCACCTGGCCACATGACTAGTATAGAAAGTCATAATGATGTTGCCTTTCCAATCCAAGCAGTTGTGCCCAAGCTTGTCACAGGCTGAAACTCATGCTGAGTTTGTGTGAAGTAGAGATGGGTGCTAGACCCAGAACAGGGTCTCCAGGAAGGAAAATTCCAGCAACATTTTGTGTGTACTCTGAGGTACTTAAGCTCATAAGCCTTGCTGGGAAGAATCAGGGTGGATTTTCACCTCAGGATCTTGGCAGTGTCCTTTAATGCTTAGAAACTGTAATCAGACATATTGTGTGCCATCCATGAAGAGGTGGAAGTAAAGGAGAAAAAGAAGGCAGAGATAAGAATGTTCCCCATGCATGGCTTTGCTAAGAGGTAAACAGGGCAGTGTCCTGAAGCTACCCCCAAGCAGTGCCTGGGATACCAAAAATATTCAAATGCAATATAACCATTCAGTATGATTCTCTTCACTCAGTTCGGTAGAACCCAAGCTGAATATTAACATATATTTCATTTGAAGTCATCGCCTGGCTAGATTGGAGGCATTTAACCAAGCTACTTGATGGAGCCCACAGCACAATCTAGAAATAATCACCAACAGGTATGTTTAGAAGGCACCCAGTGAGCCAGACTGTGAAGAAATCAGTTGACATTGTTGGTTGTGAGTGACAGAGACTAACTCTGAATGAAGAGGGAACGGGGAAAACTACCAAGATATCGGAAGTTCATGGGAGCGGCGCCTGGGCACATGGGGCAAGAACTAGCAACTGGAGATGGAGCTGGTCACGCTACCGCACAAGACCAGCCAGGCCACCGTTATTACATGGATGGCAGCGGCTGGTATCTCTGCTCTGCCTCCCCAGGCAGGCACGATCACTGCTAGCCTCAGTGCTTCCAATAACGGTTTCCAAATGATTCTTCATCCTCTGCTCCCCCTTTGGAAATCAGAGACCCAAGAAGGGGATCTCAATGGTGGGGCCTCAGTTGCCAGGGCAGGAAGAAGAAAGATGCAGCCCCTCGCATCAGTGGTCAGAAGCAGACCCAGCTTTCCACAGAAGAGGAAAGGGTTTCAGACTCTTGGAAGTGCAAGAAGGAAAAGAAACAGCAATACCATGAAGGACTAACTAGTTTGCTGTGATGCCTTGGATTACAGGTTCCCACACTCAACTACCTTTCTAAAATACCAAAGTCATCTCATAGCAATGTTTGCCTGCTTCTGAGGCTATTTCAAAATCCATCTGCATTAGTTCTTTTTCTATTGCTGTGATAAACACCATGAGCAGGGCAATTTCTGGAAGGAATGGTTGATTGGGGGCTTATGGTTCCAGAGGGAAACAAATCCGTGGTGGTGAGGGAACAGCAGGCATGGTGGCTGACACAGCAAACTGAGAGCTCACATCCTGAGCCACAAACACAGAGCAGAGAGAGCAAACTGAAAATGGCCTGAATCTTTACACTCCCAAAGTCTGCCTTCAGTGATACTTCCTCCAGCAAGGCCATATCTCCTTAAGCCCCCCCACCAAACAGCACCACCAACTGGGGATCAAGCATTCAAAAGCTGGGGACTATGGGAGACATTTCTCATCCAAACCATCATCCCATCCATGAAAAAAAAAAAAAGTCTCTAAAATAGGTTTCACCTTTTTTGATCACTGTGCTGGTAACTCCAGGGTACCCCTACTGGAGAGGCTTGCTAAATGAGAAGGTTAACAGGTATTCAGCTGAAAATATGAAAACCTTTAAGTCTTTAAACAGAGACTTTATTCCCTTAAGGAAGATTTTGGAAAGGGGAAAACGCTAAAGATGGCTCTATTTTGCAGTGACAGCAAGATTGAGGCTCTCTTTGCAGTCCACTTAGACTTTCCCTTGTGGTCATAAGACAGTGGTTGCAGCTCTAGATGTCTGGTTCAAGTTCACGGGAGAAGAGAAAACAAGAACTGAGGGAAGGGCCAAAATATTTGCAACATGGCCTTTGATGATGTCACAAGAGAACTTCCCAGCATTCCTGTCCTGCTTGAACTCCTTGATCCCCACTTACCACAAGCAGGTCTCATAGCCATCCCTAGCTATAGCGGTACTTGGGGAAGAGGACAGGAGAGTTATGATTGGTCTACACTAATCTTAAACCACTTCCTGAGCCTGACACATTGTCATGTTGAGGTGGGAAGGAAAGCAGAAGGGACAGCATAGCTACTATCAGATTTGGTCCTTGCAGGATTAGAAGTTGGTTGAGTTCAAGGACTATTTCAGGAAGAGGAGACAGAAGTAGAAAAGAAATACAGGGCGTGGGCAGTAGTGACTCATACCTTTAATCCCAGAGGCAGGCGAATCTCTGAGTTAGAGACCACCCTGGTTTACAGAACAAGTTCCAGGACAGCCAGGGCTGCACAGAGAAACCCTGTCTTGAAAAATGGAAGGAAGGAAGGAAGGAAGGAAGGAAGGAAGGAAGGAAGGAAGGAAGGAAGGAAGGAAGGAAGGAAGGAAAAGAAAAATACAGGACGTGTGGAGAGAACAAAAAAATTCACTTTGGCTATTGAATAGACTATTGTAATTTGTTAATCTATCCTACATAAATAAAAAATCATTGGTTGCAAAAATATAGGCACAAATTTTATTAATTAAAAAATTGTAGTTTCTCTTTTAAAAAAAATCGCACTTGTCTTTCTTATAAATGTCCAGCCTTAGCTTGGCTTGTTTCTAGCCAAGCTTCTCTTAAATTATCCCATTTACCTTTGCCTCTGGGCTTTTATTTTTCTCTATTTCTGTATACCTTTCTTTACTTCTTTCTCCGTGGCTTGTTGTGTGGCTAGGTGGCCAGGTGGTTGGGTGGCTGGGAGGCTGGGTGGCTGGCCCCTGATGTCCTCCTCTCCTTGTTCTCTTGCTTCTTTCCCCTTCTTGTTCTTAGAGTTTCTTTCCATTTATTCTCTGCCACCTGTTCTTTCTCCTGCCTTGCTATTGGCTGTTCAGCTCCTTATTAGACCATCAAGTATTTTAGACAGGCAAAGAATCACAGCTTCACAGAGTTAAACAAATGCAACGTAAAAGAATGCAACACATCTTTGCATCATTAAACAAATGTTCCACAGCATAAACAAATGTAACACAGCTTAAAATAATATTCCACAGCAAACCATGGTAGCAACCGTTTGCCCACTAAGAGCTGAATACTTGAATAAGCATTATACATACATATTTGTATCTTAAAAACAAGTTAACTGTCTATCTATTGCTTATCAGTTATCATGAAAGAATGAGGAAATTGCAGAGAAACCTATAGATATTTTTTTGTGTAAATAAGCAATGGTATAACAGCCCCATAGATATAGGTGAGCGTGGCAGAAAAGACAGAAACTCTCAGTGTGGTATCAAATGCCAGCTCTGAGGAGGCAGAATCAAAGGATCATAAACTAGAAGCCAGTCTGAGTTATATAGGGAAACCATGTCTCAAAGAAAGTAATGGAGAGCGGGGGCAGACAGTGAGATGGCTCAGTGGATAAAGCTCTTGCTGTCTGGAGACCTGGCCTCAATCACCAGAACTTACACGGCAGAAGGAAAGAATTTGTTACTAAAAGTTGTCCTCTGAACAAAGAGGACCCTAGGAGAGACATACGTGGATTCACCTAGGAAGGAGAAAGAGACAAGATCTCCTGAGCAAATGGGAGTGTGGGGGTCAGGGGAGGGTGTATAGTTTAATTAAAAACAATAAAGTATAAAATAAAAAAGCTGTCCTCTCACTTCCATATAGGTGCTGTGGCATGTGCATGTGTGTGTACACACACACACACACACACACACACACACACACACACAATAAATGTATTTTGTTGTTGTTTATGTAATGGCTGGGGCTACAGCTCTAGGGTAAAGTACTTAGACTGCACCAGGCCTCTGAGCATGATCCCCAGAACCTGACAAAAAAAAAAAAAAGTACTCAAAACCAGCTCACAGTGAGTACCTCGGTGGGATTGGAGGGGTGAATCATTTTTTTTTCTTTTTATATCTTTGAGTATTCTCCTGATTGACATGAGCATGCATAGCTTCGGTGTACAACTTAAAGCTTTCTATACGTGCTCTGAAGCCATACTTTCTGAAGAGTTAATGTTCTGCATGGACAATGGGGAGTCACTGAAGGTTTCTGAGAGAGGGAATGATGTAATCAGGAAAATTAACCAGGCAGGTGTGACAGGCGGATTAGAGAGTGTGAGGACAGGCAGAAGAATGAGCCAGCTGTAGTGGCAACTCAGTCCGAAGACAGAAAGAAACAAACAGAGATTGCCATAATCTGTGAAGAGACCAAAAGAAAAGGGGCCACCAGGCTGGGCTGTGGGCAGCTCTTCCAGCAGAGTCATAGAACCTTGATGTGTATATATGCTGAACACAGGGAAGAGGGGTTATGAGCCAAGGCATGCTCCCTCTGCATCTGATCAAGCTGCACATCTTCCAGTTTAAAGCCCAAGTAAGATGCTGCTCTTCTCTAACTCCTCCAGCATCTCCTTTTTTAATTTATTTAACTTATTTATTTTGTGTGTTGGTACGAAGGTGTCAGATCTCCTAGATCTGGACTTGCAGACAGTTGTGAGCTGTCATGTGGGTGCTGGGAATTGAACCCGGGTCCTCTGGAAGAGCAGCCATTGCTCTTAACCACTGAGCCATCTCTCCAGTGCTCCTCCAGCATCCTCTTAATTAGCATTTACAATACAAGGACTCAACATAGCCATTTCTTAATATGATTTGCATTATTTCCCTCTCTAAACCAAGAACAGGCTGTGAGCACACTTAGTGGTGTCCCCCACCAAGTGCGGTGAACCTGAGATGCCATTATCCACTCGTTCAGCGCAGTTGACCACATTTTTATTTCTCTTTATTCATTCCTTACAAGAAACAGCTCCAGGCTCTGCCCGTTGGAGTTCGCCATTGTGGGAAGAAGACAAATTCTCAACAGTACATCTTGTTGTAGCTGAGGGCTCCAGGAGAGGGGAGTGTGCAGGAAGAGTGGGGTGCACTTGAAGATCTAAGGAAAAAGAGGGGGAGACAGATGAAGAGGACAGAGGGCATCAGTAGACCCCCTGAGGTGGGAAGAAGTCTGGCCTATTTGAGCAATCAAAAGGAAGCCAGGGATAGTGGGAGCCCCGGATGAGTGGGGGGCAAGAAGCAAAGGCCAGGGACAGCAGGCCAGCCAGGGGATACCAACCCATGTGCTGCAAAGAACAGCTGAAGCACACACGTTTTTTTAAACAAAAGAGAAACAAGCCCCAGGCTGTGTTCAACTTGCAGACACGGTTTTGAGGGCGAGGGTATTGATGCTGTTATTTGGGTTTTTTATTGTTGTTGCTAAGTTTTGTTGTTCTTTATACAGAGTCTCATCCAGGCTGACCTGGAACTCACTATACAGTACAGGCTGCCTCCACCTCCAAAAACAGTGATTACGGGAACAGACCTTTCTACGGTAAGTGCTGGGGTCTGAGTTCAGGCTCTCTGTTTCAGGCATGCCAAGCAAGCACTCTAGCATCTCTGTGTGCTCTCAGCCCTGGATTGCTTTGTTTTGTCTTGTCTGTTTTTGTTACACACACACACACACACACACACAGAGAGAGAGAGAGAGAGAGAGAGAGAGAGAGAGAGAGAGAGAGAGAGAGAGAGAGAGAGAGAGAGAGAGAGAGAGTTCTTGCTCTCCCTGGTTGGAACATCAGGGGACACGAGGATACTCAAAGGTCAACTTTTCCAGGAGGTGGGGAGCTGAGACCACCCCACCTCACCTCTCTTTGTACAAACCATCTGGCTCAGCATGGCCTCAACTCCAGATGGGTACAGTTAACAGGACGGACATCCCAGACCTCAGATTTGCCCCGGGGCAGTTGGAGTCCCCAGGATCAGAGGAGAGAGATGCAATGTGAAGGAAGGCAAGGCTGACTCCTCCTCTCCGAACTCTATTTCTCTATAAAACAGGCCGTCCATGGCATCTATCTCGGGGAGTGGCCGTGGGGGCTGAGCTCACACAGAACACCGTCTATCAGTGCGAGCCTTTTGTCCTTGTTTTCCATCTTAGCTGTGTTTCCACATCCACAACATAGTCCAGCTACTATTCGCACTTAGGTAATTTGGCTAATTGATTACACATGAAGATTCACTGTCTTTAAATGAGATGTGGATTTATTAAACAACATACAGTTGAATAAAAACAGTTAATGTGGAAAAAGAAGTTTTGTTCCTGCCTTTCAGACCCACCTAGTCCAAGGGACATATGGTTGAATTCCAAATTAAGCCTCTGGACCAGGTAAAACCACCAAAGGACCAAATTTGAATAAAATCTCAAGTGCGACCTCGGGCCTAGGCTCCTGCTTTCACCATTTAAAACGAAAGTGGGTGCAGGTGGGAAAGGGGAGCTACCACTGCCCTCCTATGCTGTCAGGACTTGGGCCAGGCCTAAGGCTGGGACTGAAAAACTCTCCAGGAGCAGGCCAGAGTAAGGGGCGGGTCGACGCGGCGGGGGGCGTGGCCTCACGGCAGCCCGCTGGCCCCACCCCAGCGGAAGTGCTGCTGGGTCCGCCCCTTCTTCATCAGGCTGGTTCAGGCTCGCCCAGCCTTGGGCCTGATCTCTCCAGCGCAAATCGGCTCCGGTCCGAGGGCGACTTAAACCGGCGCCCCTGCTTCGAGTCTAGAGAGACGTTCCTGGGTGGGCGCAACCGGCTGCTCCCCGTCCCTCTCACTTTCCCGCCCTCCCCACCCTTTCTCGGTTCTCCGTGCGGCCGCTAGCGCCGCTGGGAAAGGCACAGGTAAAGTGTGGGCAAGTAAGGGCGCAGGTGTGGGCATCTCCCGGGCATCTCACTGGGGGCAGTGCTGGGGACTGAGCTCAGGCCTTCTGTTTCATGGGTGCCAAGCAAGCACTCTTGTCAACTGTGAGAGAGTGCAGAAAATGAGAGAGGAAGAGACTGTATTGATCGCGGACAGTGAAGGGAAGAGAGAATGCGGAGCCCGGGAATGGTGCTAGAACTGGGCAGATAGAAAGAAGGGGAGAGAATGAAGCCCTTCAGCTTGAGGGCCGGTCATTTATGTCCCCCCGCGTCTTGCGCAGTCTCCGTTGTGCTTGGGAGATGTTTAGCTGGGGGAGGGGGAGGTGACACCCAAGAATTGTCCCCCACCCACCCCGCGTGGTGACTGAGTACTGACGAACGCCCCGCCCGAATGCACTCAGTCCAGGGTTTGAAGAATAAAAATCAATAAAATCGATGGCAAAGAACACGAAGCATGTTGGGTTATTATTATTATTACTTGTGTTTGTTAAACTTTTTTTTTTTTACTTCTTTTTTGGAAAATGTGGCTTCAGCTTTGATCCCGGCCTCAGAGAGGGACGCAAATTATCTTCTGGTTCCCCCGCAGGAGACTTAAGAAACTTGCACTTGGTCTCAAGTCGAGCAGACTTCCCCAGGAGGCCTAGCCACGTTGTCAACGTCCAAGGGAACGAAGCCCCAAGGGGTGCTCAGCTTCCAGGCACAGCTTTTCCCTGCAACCCTATCATCTGCCCTTTAGGGAGATGGACCCCCTCCATTTACAGGTCCCCGGTTTACCACTCCCACGCCCCCTCCAGGGGTGCCTCCTCCCCCGAGCTCTCCGGGTCGCTTTAAATAATGATATTTGCATGCAAGGAGCGATTCATAAATATGTCACGGCCGGTGAAATATAGGCAACATTTCAAACTTTCTATTTAAAAAACATGAATTATGGCCACGGAAAATGTGTTCCCATTTAAAGGCGATACGAAGTATTTGGTGTCTCGTCCCCGGGCCCATCCATCATGCAGACAATAAAGAGAGTTTTTCGCTCTGACACTCGCGATTTATAGTCGCCCTTCTCTGCCCTCATCACTCACCCACTACGGCCCGGCCTGGGGACAGGCCCTGCGGAGAGACTGGCTGTCGCCCCGGCCAGAGTCCAACCGCTCTGTTTGCACCTTTTTCAGACCCCAAGCCTGTGGATTTCAAAGGGAAGCGCCTCGAGTTAGAGGGGTCACCTGGCTGAAAGAGTCTGAGCAACCACACAAGAGTGGGAACCACGCACTCACTCATTCTCGCCAGCAAGCTTTACTCATTGCTGGAGGCCGAGGCGATCCAGGAGTAGTCCCTGCATTCGCCCTCATCCAATGACAGGGGAGCGGGAGCTGGAAGTTTGCAGCACAGGTGGACCCAGGTTACTTAAACCTAATTCAAAGTTAGGGCAGAGAGCTGGGCAAGGGACTGCTCAGAATGACTTCTAAACATTCCTCCCCACAGAAGGTGATTTGGTCTCAGATTTTCCCAGGACAGGCGGAGGATTTGGGGCAAGACTTTGTACAGCTCTTACAAACCTGCTTCTCCTGTTACTCCTGGTCTTGTAACCCATGCTGGACGTCTGCAGCAGTTTGGAAAGCACTCGATATCATCTGGCGGGAGCTGGGAGGTGGGCACCAAGGAGTAACAAAAATAAAGACCTAGGGGTGCCTCCACTGCGCCTCAGGCCAACCTAGGCCACCCGGACCCGCCCTCGTGTGTTCACACTAACTCTGTCCTCCCGAAGCCGCCGCTGATTGCCTGAAGAAAACTTTGGTGAAGCAAAGTTCGGACTCTGCACGGCGGAATTTGCTTTCAGTTTTCGCTGGGGGCGGACTCTGCCCTGCAGAAGCCCTGGAGGTTTCCGAAGCTCCAGGATGTGGGGGCTACTAGGCCCAGCACCAGCAGCGAGAGGCCACGAAACCGGGGGGGGGGGGTAGCCTCTACCTTCGGGCATGGGGAGCCATCTCGCGCCAATGACTAAGCCGAGGCTCACGGGTACATGCCAGTCAGGAGCCATTTCCAGTTGGACGCCTACTGGTTGGGCTTAATCGGTTACATGTAGCACCAACGACTACCAGAGAAATTCTGTCGATTCTAAAAATGACAAGGTTGAATTTATTACATAGCCATGTGTAAGTTTTATCCATGTGAGGATAAAATGGCGCAAACCTCTCGGCACTCAGTAGTAACACCGCTTACTGCTTCTGGCTTTAAGGGCACATAACATAGCAATTCAGAAATTGAGAACTATAGGATAAAAATATTCTTAAATTCTAAATGTGTGCACATATAATTAATTATGTTGGGAAAATTATAAAGCAGTCCTTTGTTTTGTTTTTATATTTGTATCTTTACATCCCTTGCTTGCGTGTCATGGGGCCCAAAACAGAACTTATGTCTAAATAGCCACCCAGTGAATATCTCCTCCAGCCGGAGTTGAGGAGTGCCCTGTCTATAGCTCTTTAAGTATCTGTAGCACAGTGAAGGTGACCTAAATAAATGCATAACAAAAGCAGGCCAGCAGGTAACTGAGACACAGTGCATCATATATATGCATATATGTGAATATATAGTATTTCTAGGTTTATAAATAAATTATTTTCATAAGACTGGAGAGTGGGGACAAAATGAGGCACTTATGTGTCCTGTACCCCAGTGCACCAAGCAGTCTGCAGTAGGTTTTGCTGGATAGTCTCCGCCTTCACTCTCAGAGGAATAGCTGCTGCTTTGAGAGCTCAGTACAGATGTTCAACTGCAGGGTACTTGTAGGGTTCTTGTGGATGAAGACAATGTCGTTTAGACTAGCAGGCCCTGGGGTCCCTCCAAAGAACCCTTTCCCCTCAGACACTTCCATCAGCCCTTAGTCCTGACTTAGTCTGGCTCTGGCAGCCACATTTGGGTATGATTTTGGACAAGGGCATAAACCAGAGAAGGGTGGGTGGTGCTCAATCCTAAGCCATTACCAGAGTGGGAAGCCAGAAACACCAGGAAGAAGGCCACTCTTCTGGAGTTCAGAAGCCAAACCCCACCCAGTCCTTGAGGCTCTAGTGTGAGCCCCTGGAAGCAGTAACCTGGGTGTAGTTGCTTAAGAAATTCTAGGCACTCCTTCCCCCACTAAGTGCTGAAATCCCAATGCCCTGTGGGTCTTGAGATAGTTGCAAAGCACTGGAGAGACTATTGGCCAGGTCAACTAGGCTGGGACTGTGAAATTCCGAGGCAAAATAATACTAATTCCAAAACAGGGACTTGTCACAGTCCACACATTTAATTCTCCTGTGCTGACTGAATTACTTCCTTGTCCCCAAATGCACAAAAGCCTTAAGAAGGTGAAGATCCTCTGAAAGTCCCCGGTTGGGGAAGAAACTAGAGGACATTTAGGCAGGAAATCCTGAGACTTGCACGCACTCCTGCTGGGTGAGAAATAACCCGGGCCCTGAGAATGCCCTCCTTTAGAGACTATAACTACTGTATAGAGGTTTATACATTGGGAGGGTACGGCAATAAGAAATATTCCCTGACAAAACAGAGAAAGAAAAGGAAAGCGGAGATGAAGGGTTCAGAGAGCCAGAAAGAAAATGCAGTAGAAACGAAAAGGAGAAGAGAGTGGAAATTTTAAAATAAGCAGTCAAATGGGCGAACCTCCAAGGAATAAGCAGGTCCGAGGAATAAGCGAGGCCACACGCCCCGTCCTTCCCCAAACCTCACTGGTTTTAAAAGCTGTTAGGCTCGGACCTGACCATCACCTCAGTGGCTCCGGGAATCTCTGGCCTAACTGTAGTTTGGTGAGAAGGGTCTGGATCCAGCGGCCTCACTTGCCCTTTCTCTCACACCTCAGGGGTGGGTGGGGGATTGTTGGGTGGAACAGAACCCGGGTGCCGAGACCCCTGGGGGCATGTGCCAGTCCAGGACTCTTTGGGCGCTCTGGGCCAGACTTTCCAGCTCGCCGGGCCTGACCTGTCAGGCGGATTATCTTCGAGGGAGATTAATAGGGGAGGCGGGCTGCAATAATAATCGTTTTGTTTGATGTGACAACTCTGATAGGCGTTGATTTACTTACAAACTGATAGGCTTTTAATTGAGCGCCTCCGCCGAGCCAGAGATGAAAGGGAAGCGGCGGTGAAAGGCGGCCCGCCTGCCCTCCGGCCTCAATACTGATTAGCCATCTCGACAGTGAATAGTTCAAGGCATTTTCAAACTTTTTTCCTCAGCCCTCTTCCCTTCCGCCTTCTCTCCTCCACCTCCTCAAATATCTACATGCCTACACCTTTTTTTTTTTTTCAGAGAAAGCAAATCATGTCCTTTGTGTGCAAATAAAATCCGCAGGACATCCATGCCTACCACCTCAGAGGGTTGGAGGAATTAGGCCTAGCCTGGAGTAATTAATAACCACACACACACCTACATAGCTTGCGCGGCCTTCAGGGATTTGGCCTCCCTTAAGAGGTGCGAGGGATCGGATGATGGTGTTTCCCCAAAGCCAATGGAACGCAGACCCCCTAAGCGCCCCCGTGCGCTCCGACCTGCAGAGCTGAGTTTTGAGCCAAGTAAACGCAGGCGGCGAACGGCTGGAGCTCTCGGAACACGGCGCATACCCATGAGCGCGTGTAAGCATGCTGGAGCAAGAGCCGGCCCAGCTTTCCACCCGACTCGAAGCGCTGGGGCGGCCTCCCCTGAACTGTCCAGTGCACTGAGAAAACTACCGGAATTGGAGGAAAGGGCTCACACTGAGGACGCCCCCGGCCTACACTCCAGCTACCCTTGCTTCAGTCCACAGCGCCAGTTTTCGATGTCCAGGCCTAAGCCAAGAGAGGCCAAAATGGCAGACAGTCCAAGGACGAGCTTGCTACGCTGGGACCACAGTAGTTGGCCATAGGTGACACCTTCACAGCCACGCAATCGGTGGCACAGTTGGGCACTAACACCCGCAGGCTACAAACGGCTTCAGACACATTGCCCGGCAGAGAGTTTGGAGCTGCCACCCTAGTAAACTGTACTCGGGACTCCTTATCTCCAGGAATTAATCAGGCAGCCGTCACAATCCTGCGTGATATCTTACCACGGTCTCAGACTTACCTTCCTCAATTGTCGCAGGGGCACCACAAACCTTCCTGAGTGTCGGTGTTAATAACACACACACACACACACACACACACACACAAAACCAGCTCCAAGCACAAACCACCTCTTCTCTCCAAATTAGCATTAATCGAGTTACCAGCTCATTAACTTTGCCAACCTAAGGAATCAAGGAATAAAATCAAAACGGAGTGGAAGAATACCTACAAGAAAATTCTGAAACTCATCCCCATTCCAGAAAGTTCTCATTACCCTCATGGAGTGAGAGACAAAAAAAAAAAAAAAAAAAAGACAGAAGGGAAAAAGAGACTGGGGTGGTGGGAGAGGAATGGGCTACCAAGCCAAAGGGAAGGGAGTCCCCAACCAGACCCCTTCAAGTACCCGGTTCAGATCAGAGAGAGCGATAGTCGGGAACCGGTCTCCAAGCTCGGCCCCCGCCCCTGTACAGGGCGCAGATCCGCTCCCGGCTCCCAGCGCTCCTAGCCCCACCATTCATCAAAAGGACTTGACAACAAAAGAAGAGCTCTTCGGAAAAGTGGGGTGGGAGGAGGGGAAATTCAAAGTCTTTCAAGTCCGAGGGAGGGGGTGTGTCCTCCGCTCACCCCCTTCTACTTCAGCGAGTTTCTGGAGGTGACCCTCGAACTGGCTCCGGACCTCACGGAAGTTCAGAGTATTCGCCCAGCGGCGCTGGAGTGCACACACGCTGTGCACCTAGGTCCAGGTACAGGGCGGCACGCACAGCGCCTCCCTCTTCTTTCCAAACAACCGGAGCGACGGCACAAATAGAGGGGAACGCAGCAGTCCCGCTGCGCTTCCCTGGAAGAACCGGTTCCCACAGGCAGCCGCCCCTCCCTCTCGCTCTCCCGGCTCAGGTCAGTCCTGTCTGGACGATCCACTATATTTGGTCGAGCCACTCCGGGTAATTCCAGGCCTGGCTTCCAGAACTGTCGGGTTGGCGCGCGGAGGGTAGTGGAGAAGGACCGGGGAGAGGAAAGAGCGAGCCTGAGACCTGTCTGTCTATGCACATGGCCGGGCCTCTTCTCTGGAGTTTTTCAACCCTCGTTACGAACCCGGGCCACAGAATTAAGGAGGGTTACCCCGCCAGTAACTTCCAGGACTCGAGCTACTTTGGTGGTGTGGCTCTTTGGAAAGAAGTTCCTGAGTTGGGGGTAGGGACACTACCGAGGGCAGCAGCCGGACATCCTCAAGTTACACGCCTGGGAGGGAATTATCCCAGAGAGGCAGAAAACCTCCCGTGTTAGGCGTCTTCTCCGCCTCTGTTCTTAGATACCAAGCAGTCCCCGAACTCTGCTACCCAAAGCAGATTTGGGTGCTTTGGTAAATCAAAGCACCCCAAGGTGTCTGTCTCTCCAACACGGGGAGGGAAGGCGCACACTCCAGGCCGGTGCGTCCGACTCGGCGTCCTGGATGCACCTGCGCACTTAACTCTCACTATTTCATTTTCCTGACGGTGGGCACCTCTTCCCCCTACACAGACACACACACACACACACACACACACACACACACACACACACACATCCCAGGAGGCTGCTCCTCTATCACCCTCCTTTAGTTCCTTCTCGGTCTCTTCCTTCCTCTGTCTCACTCTCGGTCTCTCTTTTTCTCTTCAAGTCTCACCCGCCTTGTAATCAGCAACAAAAGCTGACATAAATCACGGGCAGATTGACAAGAGCTGACAAATAACTGATTGATTGCGGTCGAGGCACATTGACAATTGATGGAGGGGTGGAGATGCCCAGAGAAACGGGGGGGGGGGGGGGGGGGAAAGAGAGGGTAGCAAAGGAGAGCAAGAATGGGGGGGACTGAGTGTGAAACAGGGAAACATGTGACCCCCTCTTCTGCCCCAATCTGCGCGTCCTCGGGTGTCACGTGATCAAGAAAGGCGGAGAGCCCAGCGCACGTCGCCTGGACGAGCAGCCACCCCCTCCGTTGCCCTTCTAGCTTCTGGTTTCTCTGCTGCGGAACTTCAGGAAATCCAAGCGGACGGGCACACTTCCTCCGGCATCGGCTTTCCTTTCCCGGGTGGCCTCACCACACGAGATCTCAATTACTGAAATTGAGAAAAAAATTGGTGTGCGGATACCCACGCTTCCCTGGAGTCGACCGTTCAGTTGGTATCCACACTTCCGCCTGTGCTTCTCAACACCCGCCCGAAGTCTGTTGAATATACGCAGCCCCTCCCTCCAAAGGTTTCAGTTTGTTTTCCAGCTGGGAAAACGAAGAACGACGAGGACGAAAAAGAAGGAAGGCGGTAGATGGCAAACGTAGAATAAATGTCCATCTCGTCCGGGTAGCGAAATCGAGGGAGGGGACAAGCCGAGGGGCGGCGAAGAGGGAGCTGCCCATTAAAACCAGCACTGAGAATCCTGGCGGCGGCGGCGACGGCGGCGCGGGACGCGTCACATCCCCTTGACCCTCCAATCACCTCAGGCTCCCATTTGATTGGAAGGCGGCAAAGGCTTTAATCTCCCCCTTGTTGCAGCTGCTTTTGAAGTGAGTTTCCTCGCCAGAGCCCCGACTGGACAGGCAGCAGCTCACATCGCGGAGCGCAGCGCCGGCTCGGGGACGGGAGAGCGTAGCGCAGGGCGCAGTCCTAGGCAGACACCGCGCACTGCGGGGCACTCCCGCACTCCACCCGGCTCCTCCTGCCCCGCTACAGCTCCCTTGCGGGCCACTCAGGATTATTCGCTTCTGGCTCCAGGCTCCGAGAAGGCACGCGGGGCACCTGCGTCCGCCGAGCCAGCTCCTCATCCAGCCGCTCCCGCACCCCGGGCGAGCGCGCAACCCCGAGCCCGCCCCGTGCGTCCCGGAGCCCTCCCCCCGCTGCTCCCATGCGCGCGGGTGGGTCATGAGCACAGCGCCCTCGCTTTCTGCCCTAAGAAGCAGTAAGCACAGCGGCGGAGGCGGCAGTAGTGGCAGTGCGGACCCTGCCTGGACCAGCGCGCTCTCTGGAAATTGCTCCGGCCACGGCTCAGTCTCGTCCCCGGCCGGCAGCACCAAGCCTTTTGTGCACGCCGTGCCCCCTTCTGATCCCCTGCGACAGGCTAACCGCCTGCCCATCAAGGTGCTGAAGATGCTGACGGCACGGACTGGCCACATTTTGCACCCAGAGTATCTGCAACCTCTGCCTTCCACACCCGTCAGTCCCATCGAGGTAAGGACCTTCTCTCCGGGGCAAGCTGGGACCCCTACCAGGACTGCCTTCCTGTGGGGTTTCTTTCCCAGGAGATCTGGGGCGGGGAAGGGGGGCGTCGGAGTGATTCAGCTCCAGGATGGGAGAAAAGGATAGCGTTTCCTCACTCCTTATTCGGAAAGGGCAACGAGATGGAATGGGATGTAAATTCTAAGGGCAAAGCCACCCAAACTTGCCCTTTTTGTATTATAGTCCCTAAGTACCTAACCCTCCCCCATCGGCCGCTAGGCTGACAAGGGCCTGAATACTGTTCCAATGTCGCCTTCCTCCAGCTCTCCAGAAGCTAGTATATTTACACAGCCTCGGAGGCGCCAACAGCTCAAGCCCTTGTTGCTCTTTAGAATCAAGGAGTGTGTGCCGGGAAGGGGATACAGTTCTGGATCTAAAGAGATGAAAACCAAAACATTTGCGAGAGGTTGTTTCCAAATATAAGTAGTGCTGAAAGAATACGGGAAGAATCCTAGAGTCGTCGGGGGGGGGGGGTCTGGCGTCTTTCCCAAGGACGAGAATCTTAGCGGGTGGATGTGAACTGGGGTGCCACTTAGAATTGCGCCTCGAAGTTGAAATGCTTTTCGCGGGTTATTACGGAGGGCATTAATACCCTAAAGTCGGGATTCTAAAGGGTTTCCCCTTCTTTCTCTGTGTGACCCCCTCACCGTCTGACTCCGCAGCTGGACGCCAAGAAGAGCCCACTGGCGCTGCTGGCACAAACATGTTCGCAGATAGGAAAGCCCGACCCCTCGCCCTCTTCCAAACTCTCTTCGGTCGCCTCCAATGGGGGCGGCACGGGTGGTGCAGGCGGCGGAACTGGGGGCGACAAGGACGCCAAGTCGGGCCCCCTGAAACTAAGCGACATCGGCGTGGAAGACAAGTCGAGTTTCAAGCCTTACTCCAAGCCTGGCTCCGATAAGAAGGAGCCTGGAGGCGGCGGCGGAGGTGGCGGTGGCGGCGGCGGCGGGGGTGTTTCTGCGGAAAAGTCGGGATTCCGGGTACCGAGCGCCACCTGCCAGCCGTTTACGCCCAGGACAGGCAGTCCCAGCTCCAGCACCTCGGCCTGTTCGCCGGGAGGCATGCTGCCCTCCGCCGGGGGCGGCCCAGAGGGCAAGGACGACAAGAAAGATCCCGAAGCTGGCGGCGGTGGCAGCAGCAAGGGCGCCGGGGGCTCCTCGGCGGACGGGGTACCTGCGGGACTGGCACACGGGCGGATTAGCTGCGGCGGTGGAATTAACGTGGATGTGAACCAGCACTCGGACGGGGGTCCAGGGGGCAAGGCTCTAGGCTCGGACTGCGGCGGCTCTTCCGGCTCCACCTCGGGTTCTGGCCCCAGCGCGCCCACCTCGTCGTCGGTGTTGGGCTCCGGGTTGGTAGCTCCCGTGTCTCCCTACAAACCGGGCCAGACAGTGTTCCCTCTACCCCCCGCGGGTATGACCTACCCTGGCAGCCTGGCTGGGGCCTATGCTGGCTACCCGCCTCAGTTCCTGCCCCACGGCGTGGCACTTGACCCCACCAAGCCTGGCAGCCTGGTAGGGGCTCAGCTGGCGGCGGCTGCGGCCGGCTCTCTTGGCTGCAGTAAGCCAGCCGGTTCCAGTCCCCTGGCCGGGGCGTCGCCGCCGTCCGTGATGACAGCCAGTTTGTGCCGGGACCCATACTGCCTCAGCTACCACTGCGCCAGCCACCTGGCCGGAGCTGCGGCCGCCAGCGCCTCATGCGCGCACGATCCGGCCGCTGCAGCCGCGGCGCTCAAATCGGGATACCCGCTGGTGTACCCCACGCACCCACTGCACGGTGTGCACTCCTCGCTGACCGCTGCTGCAGCTGCGGGTGCCACACCACCCTCCCTGGCCGGCCACCCCCTCTACCCCTATGGTTTCATGCTCCCTAACGACCCGCTCCCCCACATCTGCAACTGGGTGTCAGCTAATGGGCCGTGCGACAAGCGCTTCGCCACGTCGGAAGAGCTGCTGAGCCACTTGCGGACCCATACGGCCTTTCCTGGGACAGACAAACTGCTGTCTGGCTACCCCAGTTCTTCGTCTCTCGCCAGCGCCGCCGCAGCAGCTATGGCTTGTCACATGCACATCCCCACATCGGGCGCACCAGGCAGCCCGGGGACCCTGGCGCTGCGCAGCCCCCACCATGCACTGGGACTCAGCAGCCGCTACCACCCGTATTCCAAGAGCCCGCTCCCCACGCCTGGTGCCCCAGTGCCGGTACCCGCTGCCACCGGACCTTACTACTCCCCCTACGCCCTCTACGGACAGAGACTGACCACTGCCTCCGCACTGGGGTATCAGTGAGGGGGACCCTGGGGAATTTGGAGGGAGAAAAAGGAGCTGGGGGGAGGGGAGGAGTCGAGGGAGGGGCAGGAGCCGGACGAGGTTCCTGACTCAGGCTGGAGCGGAAGACCCGGGCTATGGAAGCGAAAAGAAAGCCTAAATCTTACCTATCCACCAACAACAGCCAGCGAATGAGCCTGGACGGGAAACCCTTCTCCTCCACCCCTAGCTCCTCCACCCAAACTTTATAAAAGTTGAAAAAAATCGTTTGACTTTTTATAGAAAAAGAAGGAAAAATAATTGAGAAAGTGTTCATCTGAGGACTTCGCCGGTGAACGTTGGTATTTATTTATGTTAGCTCCAAGCGGACCCATGGTTCAAAAGTGCATTATTTAGTTTGAGCTCCGTAGGTTAAAAGGAGGAGGGGGAGAAAATTAAAACTCGAGGGTAAATATGTGGAAAACAAACCCTCCCATCCCTTGTAGAGTATAAATAAAAACAAAACCGCTACAGAATTAGGATCTTCTCTTTAATGTTACTTTTAAATTGCTATGATTGTATCGTGTGTTCTTATTTAATGTCTGATTGAAACTCAAATTTACATGCATGTTTGTTACAAAAAAAGAAAAAGACGAAACAAAATAAGTCACAATTTGTCAACTCTGATTTCAAATTGCAAGTATTTTTAAGGTGTATACCATCGAAAGAGAATGGGTATTTTTTTGTATGTATTCTGGAAGAAAACAAAAAAGGAAAAACAATTCTATTCCAAAACCTCATTTGCCTTATTTTGTTCTTTAAAAGGAACACAACTATTTTTAATTTTTAAGTCCACCCGCTGAGACGGGGACAAGGTTTACGTCATGTGCTAAAATAATAGACAATGTATCGCTTTAAAGATTAAAATTCCGTATATTTGATGTATTAAAAAGGTTTTACTTCTTATTATCTTTTTAAATTTTTTTTTAACTTTTATTAAAGCGGTTTCGGCCGCTGCGGTTCCCGGGACCTCCCTGCTACCTCCTGCCCAGAATCGTGGCTGAATTTCCTACTGCTTTGTTGGGATTTTCTTGAATAGGCTAAAGCTTCAGAACGGCTGGCCGGCTAAATGGTTGTTGGCCTTGGGGGAAAATGTTTTTCAAGAGCAAATTCACAGTTGTGGAAAGATAGTATCCTTGGCTAATTGCTCATTTCGCTTTTATTTAAGTCTCTCAGAAGCTGGTTTGTGAAAAG